GACCAAACAAATTTTGCAGAGTGTGACGAAGAAATTGAAAACGAATCGAATACTACCGCGTAAAAGGTATCCAACCTAAAGCGGGCTCCAGAGACGAGAGACTATATATGGCTACAGACGCTTGTTCTGATTAGCCTCCCTTTGTGCATACGCCATTACTTACTATACAATTGATATCACTTCCTTTTCAGATGACGTTTGAAGGCGGATGTGAGATCATAGGAGGATTAAGCACGAGTACTCTCGATAGCACGGTGTTAATCCTATCATTAGTTCGCATCCTTCACGGCTCAACGAGTATTATTATTAGGATCTGAAACAAATGGAGTTGTGAGCTGTTTATAAAAAGCTACAATGAATTCGCTGACTCGCTGATGAAATTGCAGTATTCTGTTCAAGAAGATGTGAGCATGCAGCATATGAAAGCCATGCACCATGAGGCGCATTGCTGCCCTACCTTTATGAGACACGAAGCTCACGGAAGACCGAAGGGAAAATCGGGCAGCTCGGCGACAGATGGGGAGGGGTGGCATTTTGCTATTTTCTGTCGACGTGTTCGAGCCATCTAGAAAGCTATTTCGCGAGCCTATTAGAGTTGACATATGTATGTTACCACCGTGGCTCGACGGGCTTGTTCCAGCTTCACAAGAGTTCTGAGCGAAACTTCTAACCCGGTATACTAAAGTAGTGGGAGTGTAAAATGCCTCCCCCCCGTCACCTAACTGCTCCTGCAAGGACTTTTACGCTCCTTTGACAAAGGTTGTTTCAAGCTGAGGCTCGCCGTAGACGGGCGTAGCTGGTTCAGTGCCAGCAAACTCATGTTTTCTTTCCGTGCGAATTGACGACGTGGTTTCATCACCTTTACTTTTTATCAATCATTTCACTAACTAATAATGGGCACGTCATGCTCTGCGTCTGCACCATTTCAGCTCAAGACAACATAGTCCACCCACCTCACTAATGGCTCAAACTTTGATTTTCAATAACTTAACTTTGCCCCCAACTCCTATGGCGCAATAGGCCGTCTAGGTATTCTAAGGCCACCTGTGTAATTTCCCGACTTTTGATGGGAGTCTAGTTTCTACTGCATTCTATCTGCCGCGATGGAAATGATATGGTGGAGGTAAAAAATTGATCAAACTGCCGCCAAAATCAACAGATTCTTCCCCGTCATTCGAACGTTCTCACCTAACCATAAGTTCCGTCTTCATGAATGTTTATTACTACCCTCATTCGGTGCTGTCATGATCCCTGAAAACGATATTGCGCGGACTGCGGCGCAGCCGAAGCCCCTTTTCTCCACCATTGATGCCACTCTGAGCCCTATACAGCTGATGGGAAATCCGATCTGGCTGCGCTTCAAACTATGCCCCAGTTAGTTTTAGTTGCCCATCGTGCAAGGAGCTTGACTGTGATTGACTGAAAAATCGTGAACGGCAATTTTCAGTACTACCACAGAATGATTTTCGTTCGGCTCTTTTTTCTTTGACGCCGTCACAGCTTGCGAATCTAATGTTATAGTGCAAACATTGACAAGCACATAACAGATCTTCAGAAATTCTTTATCACATCTAAAAGTACAAACTGTCTGACAAAGTGCAAATCTAACAACTAAAACTTTCGAGGTTGCCATACATTCACTTGAGCGCTGCAAAGGCCTTCGGCATGGCACATTCGTCCAAATGGTGCACGAAGTCGGACATTTCCTAGAATAATATGTTGAGTTCTTGAAGCAGAAATTCTCTTCTCGATAACAAGTTTCCTTCCTTCCTTGGACTTTTGCATCCAAATCCAATCCACATATGGCGTCATCCTAGGCAACTACTGGCCTGGCTCACAATTAATATGAGCCAAGAATTTTCCTTCTATGAATTTTCCTTCTATGACGCGCGTTTGGTAAACCAGCGCAGTATCCGATCACCCTGGCTTCTTCTGTTTTTCAAAGTTTTTCTGTGACCATGTTGTCTGAGTATAACGGAAACCTGTTAGATAAAGTGCTAGCTTCCAAACAACACAAAAGCCTGCGGCTCTTCCCTTTCCTTCCTATTACTCCTTTACATGTCTACACGCCTTCGAATGAGATGACTCAGGATACCCCTTTATTACGGTAACGAAACTTTCACAGACTAGGCTAGGGTCAGACACTGCGATAGCGTCCAAGCACGGACAGAAAGTACAATTTCAACAGGTCCAAGATGTTGAGACCGCATGCCGCGATGGGATCGATCACGCCGGTCCTCGTGTTTATGAAAAGAGTATGGATTAATAGAGTGTGGCAATGCCAGTTGTGATGTAGAGGCCTACCTCCTGTTACCTAAGCCCTCCAAAAACGCAATCGGCCAGGCGCCGATCGATTCTCGCCGTCGACTGCGCGTATATACAGTCGTCATTCAGGAACTTGATTAAGCGGCTGAAGGGGTAGCAGCGCGAGCAGCGGCGATCGCGTACGTAGAATTTGTTAGCTGGGTGTCGCTGTTTCCGGTGGTTAAAGAACAGCGGCCGCGATGGATCTTTTTTGGGCTCAGGGCGTCACAATTTGTGTAGAACAGGTGGCAATGAAGCCACTATCAAAAAAAGTTGGCTGGAAAAGGTCTGAAAGACCGTGAAATAGGACCCTGTAAAATTTAAGGCATGTGGACGAGTTTCGCAGACCTTTTGTGAGTTCTCCAATACACGTCGCCGCCTCGGAACTCCAGAAACTTAGCGTTTATCAATGCCAGCAAGCACTGATAACTGTTAACCAGTCGGGGCGGGATTAACAGGGAAGGAGGCGTCAGCTCAAGCTTGTGACGCCCTCGTCAATCAATACATTTCGAGCCGCAAGAGTGGGATATCCGCTATGGTTGCGTACTCCGCGTTCGTTTTCATTGGAGGGTTTTTTCACTTTGGTTGATCGCGGACGCTGCCTTTAAGTTATTTTCTCCCTATTTTTCCCTGTTTCGGCTGCTTTTTTCGAGTTTAGGTTTTCTGTACATCTGTAATATGATTTAGTCGAGATTTCTCTCCAGGTATTTGTGATGTTTTCTACTTGTTTAATCCTCGTTGAATTGGTTTTTTTCGCATATTGTATCGCTGTGTTTGCTGGTTATATAAACTACAGAATACGAGTTAAATGGAGATGAAGCGCCAACAAAAAAGGACGAATGGATAACAATTGACAATACAAAAAAAAAGTTACAAAAACATTCCATCACAAAAAAATCAGTCGTCACAAACATTCTAAGACAAAAAAACAAACTTACCAATAAAAAACAAACAGGAGAACTACAAGTGAAATTTGGTGGGAATCGTCAGTCGTGGAAGTTTAATTGGTTGCCTTACGCAGAAGACAGAAATTGTTGCTGTTATTATAAAAACAGTATACTACGGGTGCAAGGATCTCTCGTGTTATGGCGAATATTCACGCCGGTGTTAATCTTCAAGCACATTTCAAGGTGCGTCATGATCAGCTCATCGTTCCCGCCAGTTGGAGTTAGTTGATCAACACATTCCTCAATGAAGGTTCATCGTGGTAGCATTGCTTACGACACTAGGAGTTTATGCAAGTTATCGTTTACCAAACGAAACATTCAAAGGACGGCCATGAACGCCTTCATAGCGATGCAAGCAACATTATGTAGTTATAAAATATCAGTATCTTCAGGTGATAATCAAGTGCACAACACCGTCAGACAGTGCTAAATATTCGAAATAATTATTTATGCTACCCAATATGGGAACTTTTTGACGGTGCAAAAATGAACGAAGAAAGAACGAAACCACAAGCACGAAACGCTGGATCCGAATAGAAAACAAGAGGAAATGGCGTCCAACGCTAGAGGTGAAATGTGTTGAATGTGAGATGCGAGAAACCAGCAATATTGCATTCAAAACAAACAACAACTGTGAAAAAGCGCTACCACTCTATAACGAACAAAACTGAAACAACTTCGTTCAAATGGTGGGACGTCTCACGAGATGGGGTTTTAATGAGTGAATTGTCAAACCATTCACATAAACTATACAGGAGTTTTAACGTAAGGTGGTGAGCACACCGAGATAATTACCTACAATTTCAAGTCAAGAAGGGTTGAATTACAGATCACTTGAAAGAAAACCAGTTCGACTTCGAAGCAATGGCGGGATCACTTTCGGAATCGTATTGGTGGTGAAGGTGAGTGCGGACGAGGGCGTTTACCAAGCGACTGATAGACTTCCCGTTCCCGGATCTTACTCCGCTCCTAAACATGTGAGCCATTATATTCTTGATCCTTCTTTAGATATTTAGCCCCACTGAATTCTACAACAGATCAATATCTGAATGTTCTGCTGTACGGAGTAAGAACATTCAACTGTTGTAACCTTTCAGTATACATTCCCGAAACTGCATCAGAATAATTAACGAGATACGTAAACACGATGATTCTGATGGGGTATGGGCACTATTTACCCTTTATTGCCCCAGCATCCAGAATTGAGCCAGTTTCTGACCGACTTTTTTCTCCGTGGACAGATTTGGCTCAAATGTTGTCTCCTGGGGTATTTTGACCTCCTGAATACGAATATGACATTCGCTTAGCCCGAAACTTCCTGGCGCCCGCGCCACAGGCGCCGGTGATCTGGGCTGTTTTGGCGCCAGCGCCTGTAGCGCAGGAGGTTTCAGGCTGAGCGGATGTCATGTTCGTGTTCAGAAAGTCAAACTACTCCTAGGAAGAAGTTTTCAGCAAATTTGGTGATTTAAGATATTTTGGCGCCGGCGCCTGTGGCGCGGGCGCCAGGAGGTTTCGTGCCTAGCGGATGTGATATTCATGTTCAGGAGGTCAAACTACCCCAGGAACAAATTTTCAGCCAATTCTGCCAACGCAGAAAAAAGTCGGTCAAAAACTGGCCTGTTTTCGGAAGATTGGGGCAGTAAAGGGTAAATAGTGCCCACCACTCTGATGCATTCCGATGCGAACGTAAGCACAAATGGCGTTCAAGGAACAATATTGAGCAACACCATACCTTAATTCGTTCTCGGTCTAAATAGCGATCCCGGCTTTTACTACGACTCCTACTCCGTCTCCGTTTATCGTCTCGTCTATCATCTCGCCTTTCTCTGTCCCGTCTATCGTCTCGTCCACCTTTTCCTCCACGAGCTTTATTCCGTCCGTTCTTCTCAGGGGAATCACGTCTTCGTCGAACAGGCGAATACGGTTTCCTAAAAACTCAATATCCCATCAGAGGAAAGAGAATAAAACGTCTTTTTCTCTGCTCACGCAAGAAATCGATCATCTGGCTACTATTCAGTTTTAGACGG